TCATCTGTCACCGTCGTCAGGATCAAGGAGGTCTACCGTAGAGCTTCAGCCTAAGCTCTTACGCAATTTCGTGAATCGATTTAATGTTGGATAGTTTTCTAGAGGCATTAGCTCCTGCCATGCAAATCCCCTCGGAACTAGCTTTCCAGTAAGGGTCGTTATGGTACACGATCCTTCGAAGACCCCATTGAGATCGACCAGTGCACCATGTTTCCAGGGCTAATTCTTCTGATGCCGTCCACGTACGTGGCCACTATGAAGATTTTCTTATAGAATGGAATGCACTCTTTAATAATAAGTTGGAACCGTTCGGTCTGAGTTGAGTAAAATGTGCTTAAATCCATCTGGAAGTGGAGGCAAAATGTCTTTTTTTTGGCCCCCCCCTGTATGTATGAAATACAAGGAGGGTGAAAGACTATTTGCTCATAGGACATATCAGTGAAATTTTCGTCGCACAGGCCGCCATTGACGGAAGTCTTGCAGCAATGTACACATTCATGAGATGGTCTTTTATGAGTAGAAGCAAGCCCTTCTTCATTACCTTCACCGCCTTCTGGATATCTTCTTTACCGCCTTCACCTTCATTAGCATATGACATCATCTTCCATGTCGAGCTTAATGATGGCTGATGGCTCCAACCGATAGCTGCTACATAATTTTTCAATCGGTTTTTGGATATATGCTCCCTAGAGGAAAGCTCCGGCAGTGCAGGACCAGGGCCGAGCGTACGCTGGGGCCACAGGGGGGGGGGGGGGAGTCGTATTGGCTCACTGGGAGGAAGAGATCGGGAGGGAGTGATACAGTAGGATCACACCGTCGAAGGACAAACGTCAAGGATCGAGTCGATGCCAGGCCAGAGAATTTCCAAAACAACGATATTCCGCCCACACAAACTCTTCGTGATTTAAGGTGTCCGCTTAGCAATTCGTAGTTACTTTAGTGTTTAAATCACCACACAACTTGAAGAATCCGAAATTTCACGTTTTCCAAGGAATATTTTGTCATTCAAAAGAGTCCTCGAATCTGAAGGGATGTGAAGGACACGGCGCATTCCAGAGTAGATCGTGGCTGCGCGCGCTTCAACTATAGCTCACTGGAGAAAGAATGTCAATTCAGGGGAAATCAAGGGGATTCTGAAAGGGTTCGTTGATACAAGGAGTCCACAATTCAACAAGAAATGCAGCCTTCAGCGTCAAATCCATGAGCATGTAATCATTATACATAGTTGAGATACGCTGAACAATTTTGCACTTCCTGGAAAAAGAATAGCAATAGGATTCTGAATCTGCTCCTGCTTCAGTAAATAATCGTCCCTGAAAGGAGCTATAGCCGTTGATATAATGCCAATGCAGCAAAAAAGTATCTTTTAGCGGTACTCCGGCAAAAATCCTCAACATGGCCATTTTAAGTAGTGGAGGTACTTAGCACTTCTAGTAAATGCTAGATAGAGCAAATCTTCTAATTTATGATGACGTATTAGTTTTGCAGATTGGATAAGCATGAACGGAGTTATAGTTTTGGAAAGCGTAAAAACTCGCACTCATCACGAATTTTCTCGTTAATTTTGAATCCTCAACGTGGCCATTTTCATTTTTACTCTAAAGTTGCTTTAGTTACCGTTTGATAGGGGAAATCTTCTAGCTTTGTACGCCGTATTAGCTTTTGAATTTGATGAAAATGAAGCAAGCTATGGCTTTGGAAAGTGTAGAAACTCGTGCTAATCATGAATTTTCCTCGTTAATTGATCTAAATTTGTTATTTCTTACAAATTTTTGTAATTTCAACACTTATTAATGCTAACATTTGGTAAGTCTTGCGAAGGAAATCTTATAGAAGAGATGTTGTCATGGTATGCCATTTTAGTGAGTAGTTTGTCGTTTTTTGCTCCTTTTCTCGTTTGCTCGGTAGTAGGACTTATCAATGATGATCATTCTTTGACTGTTTCACTTTTATACCTCATAAACGAATTTTTTCGTGAACGCGGGGGTAGCAGGGCTTTTGTCGCGAACAGTTCTGGGGAGAAGTTAACAACCTTCTCATGGTTCAGCTTTTAATGGGGGTTGTTTCATGGTCTTCGGCCTCTGGGGAGGGGGAAGCGTATTTCCAAATTTTCCTCGACGGTTCGCTTGACCCTGTGTAGGAACCCCTCCTACAAGACAACGTCATCATGCTTCAAGATCCGCGAAGGGCCTCCTTGAGCTCGAGTCGTGCACCATGTTTCTGTGGAAAATATTTTGTGCCATCGATGGGGAAGGCCATTACGAACTTAAATGATAAACTGAAATGTGCCCTTTAATATTCAGTTAGGTGCACTCATTTTGAATTCAGCAAAATGTGGTCAAATTTTTGAGTGTTCAGGGAGAATACCTTGATTCTGTTGCTCCCCTTGGATATGTAGTGAGTCCCAAGAGCGGAGGTGGTGTACAGTCAAGTGGTGTCGATTACCACGGGGATCAAATACTGGACTGTACGCTGATTGAGCCAACCGAGCCCTCCATCCCAACAGTGTCGGCTATTCGGTAGCAGACTCATCTGGCAGGAAAAACACTGGCTTGTACAGTATCTGGCCACTGCACGTCACTGTAAAGATCAATTCGCATTCAAAAATACGCTACAATGAGTAGATGTGGAAAGCATGACGTCTCTCAGGGAAGAATTGGTCAACCTTAAATGCTTTATATTATACGTTATCGTTTTATTCCTTCCAAACCCCTTCTTACGCGACGTTGACGCCAGCTCGTTCGCTACAACAACAGAAAGACTGTCAAAAATAACACGATTGTTAATAAGCAGTTGCAATGTTGTTTGTCTACGATTTGTCTCAAACTCCCCGCTCTCTTCCAATTAACTTTACGCTCATCTTTGCCAGCTCTGTCTACCTTATTCTTCGCAAAAGTAGAAATAATTGTGGAGGGGCGATGAGGGCGTGTAGGGTCATATTGACCTTAGTGAAATGCTGCGTGCTTTTAACTTCTATTCAGAATCTTGAAAGCGACTGTATGAGTACATACTTATACAGCGACTAAGCCATTGTTCTTATGTTCGCTAACATCTTTGTCTACAACATGATTTACTCAGCAGGATGCAAAACTTCTTCGCTCTTGACAACTCCGCACCTCTTACGAACCTCTCAGTCGCTGCGCTTATTGTCTTTACCCTAAAGTCAGCATGAGTTACTAAAGTGAGCTTGCGAAAGGAAAAGAAAAAAAATATTCGAAGCGAGAACGTATTTTCATTTATTTGTAGTGTTCAATCAGAATTCTATACACGTACATCCGTCGTTCTCATCCATCAAAACAAGCAAACGTCACGTCATAGCCATTATCCTCTTGTGTCCCTAATCCTGTTGAGATTCCATCTCCTAAACGGACTGTGGAAGCTTCAGAGCACACTTCGATTATTTTCTGACAGAACGGAAAATATTGCCTCCCATCTCTATATTAAACCCTTTGCCTATGTAGTTCCTTTCTAATTGTTTTCTTACTGCCCCGTAGCACAACGCAGAACCTTGCATTGTGTTACTAACTTCAATGAGTCACGACAATGTGGCTGAGCTCTACATATTTTTGTGCGAGAACTTAGACACGAAATGTAACAAGTGCAGAGAAAAAAGGGTGACACACAGGCACTGACGTAAGCAGGGAATTTCCCAACGACTTGCTTTACAAACCTTCTTGAGCAGCTTTCTTATAAAAAGAAGTACAGTCGTTAGTTCTGTTAGGTTTGTTTTCTAGCTCGATTTTAGTGAGTGTGAGGTGTTGCCATGTATTGTATTCTATTCACTTCTGTTCTTATTTTCCATGAAGTGAAGAAGCGAGTGTCCGACTAGCGTCAAAATTAACAGTGAAGGGTCACATGTATTTTTAATGTTATATTCTTTCCTTCTGGGATTGTATTCCTAAATGTCTGACATGCAGACAAAAAATGTAAAATCAAATCCACACTTTTCCTGGTCGCCCGAAGAGACCATTTTTGCTGTTCTGAACATGTTTTTAGTGATAGCACTTTTTGTTTTGATAGGATGCGCCGACCGGAAATGGACTAAGATGTTTTTGATGCTGAGTTTCCGGAACCACTTGGTACGGTAGAACCCGCGCTCACGATGGACCTGCACGTTCAGGAAAGGGAGCCAGCTGTCCTTAGGCTTCTCCTTTGTGAACTTGATATTAGCAGCTTGGTTGCATAGGAGGTTGAAACATGTGTCCATTTCCCTTTCTATTGAGCAAACGATAAAGCAGTCGTTTATGTAACGACAGTATAGGGCGGGTCGGCGGTCCAACAACGGCTTTTCTATCTTAGACATGTAGGCGATGGCGAGTACTGGTGCCAACCTTTGACCCATGGCCAACCCTCTGATCTGCCTGAAATATTGCCTAGACCAGCTGAAGATGGAGCAGTCAAGACACTCACTGACAAGTGCCATCACTTGGGTGGTCGAAAGGCCGTACATGTTTATGGATGCCTCGTGCTCACTAAGCAGCTCAAAGGTGGCCTGCATGGCATCCTTTTGACACGTTTGTGTACAGGGGTAACGTCAAAGAATTCCATGACGTGGTTCCTTCTGAACCTGGCCTCACGCAATTGGTCGAGGAACTTGGTGGTATTACTAAAATGGGCTAAGACGCTGATTTTGAGGTCTCTGTAAGGATCTGACGCGAGAGCCTTTGGACAAAAAAAAATCCAAAAATCAACAGGAAAGATGAATGCGTAGCTATAACCAGTGAACCAAAAAGGCCACACACGATGCCAAGATTTATTGAACGTCGAGCTCATGTACTACAAAGCCACACTCTTTTCTACTCCAAAGGGAAATGAGTGCAGTTAGTTGCAATGAATTTCTTAAAGATAAAACGTATTTGAAGAACGTGATATCAGACGAGCTCTCCTCCAATTGGAGTAGATTGTTTTTTTTATAGACACATCAGATCTGATACAACATTCTTTTGTTCAGATATCGAATCACCGCCAAGGTCTAGGAACGTGTCTTCTAGCCATCGGTCATGAATGAATCTAAAGTGACAAATGTTGATTTTGCTCAGGCGCCATATTTCGATTACTCGCTTTACGAAAACGTGAGTTTCATTACTTCACAGTCGGGCAGTCGCAATTCGCATGTGTCGCAGCCTAGGCGCACTCGTCGTCTGCTCCCTCTACTGGTTTCCATAGTACTTCCCCAAGAGCAGCTCTAATTCGCGACACACGCGACGCAAATGACGACCGCCCAGTGCAATTTTACAGAAATTACGCCTGAAAATCGTTAACTTTTCTCGAATTGAGTGTTTCAGTTCTCGGTAGTGTACGCATTACCATTGTCGAATCACGACAACGGTTCGCTTATGGCTATCGCATCATTCTATGCCTTGCTATTCATGCTGGGCACATGCGGCAATGCCGCTATCTTGGCCGTTGTGCATCATGTGAAGGCGTCGGATTCCGAGGTGATCCTCATTTTGAGAGATGTTATTTAAGCATTCATTGTACTTTTTATCCTAAAAAGCATTTCAATTGGGAGGCAACTTATCTTTTACAACTGGCTAGTACAGGTAATGTGTCATCACGCCAGGCTATTATGAAAGTGATTGTACATAGATGTTAGGTTGGTCCATAATTTCTGAACCACTTTTCATTAGTGCCATGAAAATTTTGAAAAGAAACTCAGGGGCTTCGAACATGGCTAACACCGTATGGACCGCTTCGGTCTGAAGCTGGCCAGCTTATTGGCACGCCGCTCTTGGTAGCTGAGACATTAATTTTCCTCGTAGCTATTTCAATGCCCATTTTTCATGAGTTCCTATTACAGTCTTCCAAGGGCAACCAAGCAAAGGTTCTACCATGATGTGGGTATAAGTAAGCTTTCTCAAAGAATGTCTCATGTTTCTATCTCACCCGTAACTCAGTGTCTTGAGACTCGTAAGCCACGATAAGAGCGACGATAGTGAAAAATTGTATTTATCATCGAAACAACTTGAAAAACGTGGAGAACTTTTACCTGTTAATCCCCGCCAGAAATCTCACGCTAATTAAGAATGTGTCAAAAATGATATTCAATCTATCTTTGATCAGAAGTCTATGACAGTGTACAAGAGGGACTTGAGCTGCCACTGCACTGGCAGTGAGCTGTAAATAAAGGAGATTCATGTTGTTTTGAACAAATTTACCAGATAAATAACGTAAGTTTAATTCGAAAAACAGCCCGGGTGGCCCAGGAATTATGGACCGACCTCTAAATTTAGAGGCTGCAACCTCTAAATCATTTTGTCAAAAACCTAGAGCTGGGTGAACAACAATCGAAACTCCTCACATGTAGTGCAAGCAAGATCGCAATTTTTAGATCAAGGCACAACACAATCTTAACGTAATGCAAGCAAGATCGCAATTTTTAGATCAAGGCACAACACAACCTTAACCTACATATGCATACTATGTATTGTGGACTTTTTAAGCATGCTGCCTCTTCCAATGACAATCATCGATCAGGTATGCGCTGCACTTTTGGTGAAATTTGCCATTTTCAGACATAAAAAAAATGTGGTCATATGGAGTAATATACCGCTCTCTGTTGAGGTTAATTTCCTGGATTTTTAAATATTGGTTTTTGCGATGGCTTGGAGCAGCATCACAGACACAAAAGCCAGAGAACAGTCTGAGGAATACAAGAAGCGTATCATCAAAAGGGAGGGTGCGGGTAGAGACATGAATAGCGGTATAGTGATGGCGGTGTTGTAGTGATTTTTTTACATGGCAGTCCACATAACCTGAAAAACATGCCAAGAAATTCACAATTCTATTTTTTAAAGTCTCATTGATAAGAGCGCTACACTCGAGAGTGTACATCCCAGTGATGTTCATCAGTATCACCTGGTCCTGAAATACTACCAGGTAGTAAGGCGCTTACCTCAAACAGCAGTGCTTTCAGAGTGGCACATTTACGCGTACTAAACAAGCGCTCATGCTATTTATTGCAGTTTTATTATTATTGTTTATTTTATACGCTACTAATTTTCCCAAACAGGGCTCCCTATTGACTGACTCGTGAACAGGGTTTTATTGCGAAATTACGCGATGAAAACTTTTCTATCTCAAGAAGAATGCAGAGGCTGCCGTGAGGGCTTATGTTTACATTTTACCGAGTGTGTACTTTGTACTATCCATGGTGTAGCACGCAGAAGATTATAAGTTCAGGAAAATAGGGCGATATACCGTAATGCTGGGGGCGCGCAATACACGTGCCATCGATTTTCCATCTGTGCCCGCTTCCCACTTCTCTTTTTCACTGCGCTCTCTCAAAGTGGAGAGAATGCGTCGAGCAAAGCTAAGCGTGTTATTGTAGAATTTGGAGGACGGCACGCATGTCAGTTTGGCCTCAGGTGGGGGCGGTACGGGATCCTCTCCCCTTGCCTGCGCGCAGAGCGCGCGGCGTTTGGGAATAGTGCGATGCTGCTCCATGATTTTTATATCGCTTGGACATCCGCTAGCATTGCGCACTGGAAGCCTGCAACTGCGCCCTGATGCTAACGTGCGTTACGGTATCCTGTTCTCCTGAACATGTAAGATTGTGTAAGGCTGGTGTCAGAGTCCACGATCCGTCGCAGGTTTCGCTGACTTGCGACGGCTCGCAAAAACTGCAAATTCCCCATTTGAAACACTGAATATGAAACAAGTGGAATCATGAGCAGTCGCCATTCAGCCGTCACTATCAAGCAGAAGTGGCGGCGGGATTGGAGAACACCTTGCAGTGTTGATCGGGCACTTATAATTTCCGTGACCCGTCGCGTGAATCGCGTGAATCGCGCAACTCACGGAAATTACGAAAATCAGCTAAGCCTGCTTTTTCATGGTCACCTGCCGGTGGTCGGCTGCTTCCAAGGATATGTTCGACTGTTTTTACGATTTTAATCTTACACGAAAATGTTCTTGAATCCGAATACATCATATAGATGTGGAACTGCGCCATATGAAGAAATTCATAAATTATTGGTTCTCGTGTGAAGAACTTCGGTCGCAGCCTCCTTATTTTTCGCCGTTTTATATTAAAATAGAAAAAGTATAGTACGACGAGTTCGTGCATGAGATGTTGTGGATCTAAAAGATGCATCTATGGTGCACATAAGAAGATTTGGGGCTAACTTAGGGTAGGGGACCATGTGGCGACGCGGCGCTCTGCTCGTGTGACGCGCTCCAGCAAAGAGTATACGGCGGCACAGCGCTATGTTTGCGTAGCGCTCCCTTAGGTGAGACAGCACTAAAACTGGGCCTAGGTGGGAGGCTCGGTAGGAGCTTCCTTTTACTAAGACTGAGCCGCAAGAAAAGGAGGCTCTGAGTGGTATAGTACACTATCCCACCCAGAGTTCCTCCTTTTCTTGTTTTCTCCAAAGGTACTTCAGTTCAAACATAAATAGAGCAAGATCACACTGTCTGCGGCATTCCCATCCTGCCGAGGCCCAGTCGCGGCCCTATCTCGCTTGAGAGCGCGCCAGTCAACGCATTCGGCTAGGCAATGGTAGGTTACAGATCCAACCGATCACAAAGTGTCGCACCGTAGCCGCATGTGGCCGGTGCCACTACTACTTTGCAAATTCATTTCCTAGAAAGATAGCTGCAAATATTATAAAAAAAAACTGTGCGCATAATAGCCTATCCACAATGCTGTTGCAATAACATGAGACGAATAAATTCCAGTTAGAAATAGTTGTTGTTGCTATTACAGATTCTCGGTTTTTGGATGTTTGGAACATTTGCGTGCAAGCTTTTTCGATTGTTGGAACATATTGGAAAAATCTTCAGCACTTTCATACTAGTGGCATTCAGTATTGATCGATACTGTGCTGTTTGTCATCCATTACAAGTGCGTAAGAACCCGCTTTGACCTTTAAATCTTATATCAATCTTATATTATCTTTATTCTTCAAATTTTTCTTGTTTTAGATTCGTGTTCGTAATCATCAAACAGTTTATATACTACTCAGTACTATGTTTCTGTTCACATGTATTTTGTTATTTCCAATATTGCTATACGCACACTCAAAAGTAAGTTTCTTCAAATGTATGAAATGGAGTACAGCAAGCCGTTTTGAAGTACAAAGTTCTTAAAGGCTTATGTAAGACGAAGTCGCACATAATGCGACCCAAGTCACCAGATGCCTGCGACCTGATTCCATTTACTGTGCTCCGGTGATTGATGTCCACCTTTTATTCACTACTTCGCCGCACGACGTCAGCAGACGCGAAGATACTCATCTCTGAACGCCCGAGGCTCACTGGCGGCGCGGGCGCGAGCTTGTATTGATGACGTCACGGCGGGGTCCGCAATTGCGAGACGCAATGGGCTGATGGAAATTGCTCACCACACCATCTACTATCTACTCTACTAGCGTAACCTAACTTCACCATAGGATAAGAAGTGCCAGTATGGAATGATTCATACTGTAATCAACTTCATCTTTATTATGCACTCCCTTTGCAGGGAGCTTGTCCTCCGGTTACGCTCGCCCGCGCGCTCATCCGTACATATAATCAGCTTCCGGTATTTCTTTCTTGGCTCGGTTGAAATCGGTCATAAAAGATAAAGCTTCTGCCGTTGACCAATCCCGTCTTGGGATGCGGTACGCATTCTACTTTCATTTGTACATTCGCAATGGCGTTTGAGTGCGATGTGGCCTCTATAACGATTTAGTGGGCCGGCCGATGTACAAGTCAGAGTTTCCATGCTCCCAGACAAGTCTGGTACCAATTTGCAGACCCCAGAGGGGTGGAAGGCTTGGTTTGCCCAAACGAAGCACGACCCAGGATTCGATCTCCGAACCGCGCACGTGGTAAGCGTACCACTTGCCACTGCACCACTTCCGCCTTCGCATGCATATCAAGCATCGTATTACAATTTAGGCTTAATCCCTTGGAGACTGCGCGAATTGTAGTCTACATTACACAACATATTGACACAGCGGATAATTAGGAAAATTGTCAATAATCGAATTCAGGAACTAATAATACATGAGAAATTCGACTTACCGCAAAAAACTATTACAAGGATGCATTTATACAAATGTGTGGACGACCTTGGTGATACGCTGTTCATCGTCTTTACCCTTTACTGCTTTTTACTGGTAAGTCGTTAGTTTTGCTGCAGAGAAAGGATCATAAAATTATGCTACCATTTGTTCTAGGCGTATCTCATGCCCTTGCTTTTCATGATTTATTTTTACTATGGAATGTTAATAAGACTTTTCAAACAAGCACGAGCTGTTCGACAGACGATGATCGGTCGACGGAAAGGAGTCGATGAAAAGGTACAGCACTTATGCAACTTACTTTTGTATCTGCGATTTAGTAATAGTTAAGAAAAATACGTAGGTGTTAATGTTTATCCTCATTGCGAACCTTACTTTTACTGTTGACGTCGGCACCTTTCGACTCCAACTGCAATAAAATCGTCTCCTCACCGAATTCATCCGAAACATAAGCGTAGAAGCTAACTAGTGCCTCAAATTCGATTTTGACATTCAGCTTCGGTGTCGTGCCGCATTGTGTGCCAGTTCTGCAACGCCTGCAAGGCAGCGCGACACGCATGTGCCCCGCATTTCGGGGGCCGCGTGTTCTGCCACGCTCTTCGCACCCATGCAGTGCAGTGGATTGAAGTAGAGATGCATCTCTGAAAACAGCTATTCCTACTTGGAATACATGTTTTGTAGCTTGCAAATACGTAATCAATTTGACCATGCTATCAAGCTACTCAAACTTTGTATTTCAGAAAGCAATATGAGCTACAAATATCGTTATAAATTTTTAAACCGGCTAGCCCCTGTTTCATATAGGGGCGTCTTAGCAAGAGCTTTCGAGAGAGGAATTTTTCCTGTAAACTCATTCGCTATTGTAGGGGCATTAATGAAATCACACTAAATCGTCAAATCGTCGTCGATTGCCTGGACGATTTAAGCTTTCTTACCCGAGAACAAGTGCGTGCGAATGCCAAATGCTCCATAACTACTCAAAGCTAAATCTCCTGGCTCCATTATTAATTTTTATGGGAAATCCAGATTTTCATGCAACAGCAAAGTACGTCATCGGTAATTGCTACACAGTTCTACCGCCAGAGTCAACCAAACTGATAGTGAACTTTCGCTTTTCCGTCAAGAATTATCATCTGAGAACTGCCAAGTCGTGGAATAGTCCATGATGATGTCCTCTTGATACGTGGGCTCCAAGAAACAGCTTGTTTGGGATTAACTCGGAGGAGCAATGGGACGGAATGAGATTCAACAGGTGGTGCAGCACGAAAAGAGGCCCCCTTCGTTAGGGTGACAAGTTGAGGCTGGGTTGACTTTCCCGATAAGAATGAAATGGGTTGAATGAATCACAGCTGATGGAAGTATCCTAGAATAGGTCCGCTTTTCAGCAAGATGAACTAGGGTGAAGGATTTCGGATGGTATTGGCTGCATTGTGCAACTGTGCTGTGTCCTCTCTAGCTCGTTCATCAAATGGAACGGATATGAGCGACTATTAGGATGTTCCTGCTGATCATTTGCTTTAGTTCTTCTGTAAAGGTCGACGGTAAAATCCCACCTTCACTCGCGACTACGCCTCCATCCACTGCAGCCGAACCGTTAACTATTCGCTCAACGAACTCAGTGTTTTTCATTCGCTTACATGCGGCTCGGATGCGAATCATATAGAAATTCTGGGAAATTATTTAGAGGCTATACTGGTAGCATGCTGTAAAATATTGTTAATGACCTCAGGTGCGCTATGAGAGGTCGTGGTACCTTCTGAATGGTGTGACTTTGTATTAGGTCTTTCAAGTCTTTCTGCCGTTTTCTGACCCTTTTGGATGCTTCATTTTCCTTGCAACCCAGGAAAACTGTAATCGATATGGATACACCTCTGAAAGGCTTTCTTTCCCTGCCCTACCCAAGGATTTGCTGAGCTTTGTTCCAAAACATTCTCTTATAACTTTTTCGAAGCTTTGAATGCGCACTCGATGAGCAAGTTGGCATGATTTTCTTTCTCTAGCTCTAAATGTACCTGAAAGTAGCGGGAGCAGGTCAAGATATTACCGATACACTTGAATCAGATTTATGCGGTATAGCTCTAAAGCAGCTGTAAAAAGCTACTAAAAAAAGCTGTAACAAAAGCGAGAGCCTTCGGTCTGATGAGAGAGGTGGCCGGATATCGGACGTTGCCGCAGCCAAGTTCTGATTGAAGCACTCGCGATTAGGACCATTGAAGAGGCTCTGCCCAACCTGGGTGTATATGGCCTGTAGAGCCAATTACGGAATAGCTGGAAAGTCCAAAGAGTTATTTGGGGGGGGGGGCGCGATGAATCACCAATTTGAAGGGTTCTCCATCAATTTCTAACTTGTTTTACGTGATAGGAGCGACTCGATTTCCTAAAGAATTAAGACGTGCAATGAAGAATGAAGTTTTTTCTACAGCTCACGAGGCTTTGCTGAATGGATCGACAACGATCAAGCTCTACAAACTTTGCAAAACTGAAACTGCTGAAGTAGGGATATGGCAATTTTAGTAAGGTTAACGGCTGGCTATGCCTTCCTTATCATGTAGAACTATCACAGTAAATAGAAGAGGAACGTCAACATTACGTCAAAACCCACCGAAAACTCCAAGACATGGATCTAACATCCCTCATTGTAAAGGGACGGATACACCCTGAAAGGTGTCTTGGAAGAATCGTACCGCTAACCCTGCACAGGTCGGACCAGCTAGACTACGGAGTGATGCCGCGAACATCGTACTCGGTATTCCTCTGCTTTACCAAATGTTACTTTCCGAGGAACTCAATAGCTCCCCTAAAGAAAAATGCTTCACAACCCATTGTGATGCTGGAACCACGTTCCCTCAGTTCATCGCCGCCAGAGTTCCGCATTCTGAATCAACTTATCAAGTGTAGTAGCCCCTACAGAGAAAGGTTCACGCATTCGCTATTTCAGCTTCGATTTAAGCTTGAATACACCCATTTGAAATTCGGGGACAAAAAACGGGAGAACTTTTTGAAGGGCCTAATATATGGTCAAATTTTCTGTTGAAGAAGGTGGTATGTTTCCACTTATATTGCGCAAAGAATCGTGAGTTAATAGGAAGGGGAAGTTGTGCCTTCAAAGCTTCTTGCAAAGGATCTCTTATGCTTTTGAAGCATTTTTGAACTTTCTTACAACATTGTTTGTAGCTTACATTGCTTTCTGAAATAAAGTGAACTTTGAAGGCAGCGATTGGTCGATCGGCTTCTGGTCTTTTACTACCATTGGTCAAAGCCGATTGGCTTCTGGTCTTCAAAGTTCCATTGCGCGTGTCCTTCTCACTGTGACCTAGGCATCGAATGTCTTCCATCTACGGTGTGCCATATGTGAGTACCCCTCCACAACTGACCCAGATTGCTCAAGGTTGGGTTACCTACTGCCAGGTTTCAGAGACTACATACCTCTACAGCAGGCCACGCACCTGTGACCATTTTCTGAGAAGGGTATTTTCCTTTGCTCCTCTTTACCGAAGAAGAAGTAGAGCAAGCGCAGGGACGTATGGTCAGCTTCTCTCTTACACGCGGTTCTGGTCCTAAAAGTTCCTCGGTCACACGTGACCTTCGATTGTTGTAGTGTCAAATTCTATTAGGTTGTCCCATAATTAGTGACTCACTTTACATTTATTGCCATAAATTCGAAGAAAAATCTTGAAGGCGCGAAACATGTTTTGCCATGTAGCACCCACAATGTCTTACCTGAGCAATTAGTCAGCCCATTCAATGTTGCCTTTCGAGGCTGAAACTTCAATTTTTTTGAAACCTTTCCCCAGACACGATATGGAATCGCCATGTTCCCTCTAATTTCCCAGAATTCCTTTCAACAATCATCATGCGAATTCACCAGTTTTGTGAAGTGGGTGAATTGTACTAGCAAATCCACAAGTAGCAGAAGTCTAGCTTAAAAGATTCGGGAGTGCTGACAGCAATAGCCTAAGCTTCTCTGTCGGACCTGTATGTCCGACACTTCTGAGATGTTGGTGGAGCACGAAAGAGACCTTGCGCTGGGAAGCGCTGCCCACTACTACTAGGGCCAATGAATAAGGCAAAGGTCGACAGCATAATGGCGACGCGTTCCATCTGAAGGTAAAGCAAGACAAAGTGTGGTTTTGATCCGAGGTCATTCGACCCCACCTTTCGGAAAATGTTCATAAAGAATTGGAGACCTTCAGGCTAGCAGTTGTTCCAGCTCTACCGTGTAGCCCTATCCTCGTATCACCTAAAGGCAGTCTAGTCTAAGTTATATTACTCTTCTTCAGAAACAAATTTTACGCTAAACGACATGACCTTAAACCCGACTTTCGATCATTCTTTGATCAATAGCTTATGGAATTCTTGAGAAAAAATGACGACTGAATTTCCATTAATAGCCAATAGTTTGTAGATAACAGGGTGTAACGTCTCGGATAGCAGCCACTTCATACCTGAAAAAGACAAAAATTTGGAAATTGAAACTGTCCAAATTGAGTAGCTAATTATTGGGACAACTAATATTTGCCAATGCAGTGCTCAATCAGCCGCCCACGTGAACCTACTGTACATTTTTTCATCTAGGAGCTCGGAGTTTTCCTTGCATGATGTCCAAACGTAACGCTCTTTTCTAAAATAACTTGTAAGTGTGTGTGTGTGTTGTGTGTCAAATTAACATCAGTTGTTTTCTTTCGATTAAAGATGAAGCAAAAGTTTTATTTATTATTATTGAATGGCGCCTACATACAAGCGCGCTAGAATGGACCGTTGAGGAGCGTTTGTATTCTAAAAACTAGTCCAGTATAGAAGTGAAGAGAAAATCTGGAAAAAAAACAAACAAAAAACAAACACTAGCCGAAATGGAATAGAGATTCCAGTTCAGACTCCATCAATTTTCTCATCTAAAGCTTAGGGAAACTCAAGAGTAGGAGTCAATGAACACAAACACTTCACCTGGGCTCGCTAGATGAGGAAAAAATCAAAATTTCCCACACGGGGCTAAAACAAGATTTGCAATGCAAGAAAGAAAAAAATAAACAAGAGATAATCGAACGCCTATAGGAGCAGGAGGTTCTCATCATCACGTGGCCCGCATTTAAGATAGAGAATAAAAAAATCGTAGATTAACGCAGACAGACGATGTTGCGTATCATTTTCCGCTTCCTGACCATACTAACGTTCCGCCGAATGGAAAAAAGCCGCAAGTGCTCATTATACTACACCGAATCACTTACTTTTGTGGCTACAAACACACCATAACGTGAGGCTCACCGCGGCACCGGACCTCACGCAGTCGCTATGGTGCCCGCCGGCCAGCAGCTTGGGTCATAAGGATCTTA